CTACTAGCCCTAATAGCAATTCCACGACCTTGTCCGACCCTCCAATCCCTTGGGACGATCCCTACTCACCCTAACTATATTTTTAATGAAGGTAGTAGTGCTTTTATAAATGTAAAACTTGGCCCTCGCCTTAATGCACACTCTCTTAAGCTTATGGTAGGACGACACATAGACCAACAAGTTTTTGGTGCTGTTGCCAAGGATTAGGCAACATCGGAATTGTGGAATCAATTAGGATTAATACTCTTTTGATCGTGTCTTTACTTTATTTTTATTCTTCTTTTTGGTTACTTATTGTGTTGTTCTTACTTGACTAGGTGTATTGTTGGAGAGGAAGCAAGCAAAGGAGCATTCAATCTAAGCAAGCACAAAAAAAAAAAAAAAAAAAAAAAAAAAAAAAGAGGAGCTAAAAATTCTAAAAATTTGATAAGCTAAGCTTTGAATTTGGAGTTGAAGTACTAAAGGATCTTTGTGAGACTTTCTTTACTCAATCCCTTAGTTAAATCGTTGGCCCGCGTGGAGGCTTGTTTTTAATTGTTCTTTGCATCATTGTTGTTAAAGCATGGGAGTATGAATCAAGTGTTTGTGGAAGAAGTCTAATTGCATTGTTGTGAAGGCATAGTGTTTGTCATTCTTTGTGCTTGTTGTGTTTTGCATTATGCATGCATGGACGTCATTCATTGAGACCAACTCTTGTTCCTTTTGATTTACATCTTGAATCCGTAATTAGAAATCATAGGGGAAGAAGAAGTTCAAATAGAACCAATCTATCAATGGATGACCATAATAATGATCATGTTGAGGACCTTGGTCACATACACCAACAAGGTATCCTTCATCCTAATGTACACAATGAGAATATATAAGTACCATTAGGCATACCTAGGCCATACATTCACCAACCACCACAACAACAAGGCCAAGTTCCATATGGAATACCAAGGCCAATGTATGCTCCATAACCTCCCATCATCAATTAAGGAATTCAAAACCTAGGCGTTCATGTTGCACCTCAAGTAACTAATCCACCTCTTGCTTTAAAAAACCATTATGTGCCTAATGAGTATAATGCACCTACATGCATCCAATTGCCTCCATTTAGAGCACATCATTATAAAATTAAGCCACAAACCATTCAAATGCTTCCTAACTATCATGGACTTCCAAGTGAAAAACCTTACAAGCATTTGGATGAGTTTCTTGAAGTATGTTCCACCGTAAAATATACGGACATGCCGGAAGAGGTTTTAAGACTTAAACTTTTTCCATTCACCTTAAAAGATAAGGCAAAGTATTGGTTTAACAATCTTAGGCCTTTTTCAATCACTTCTTGGGCAGAAATGCAACAAGAGTTCTTAAAGAAATACTATCCGGTTTCAAAGACCAATGCCATGAGAACTTCAATTCGAGAATTTTCACATGGGGATGGAAAAACGTTTCATGAGGCATGGGAACGCTTCAATGAATTGCTTAGGAAGTGTCCACATCATGACATGCCCAAATGGCAATTAGTTTAATATTTCTTTGAGAGCTTATCGGACAACTATAAGGGTATGGTTGACGCTTCCATCGGTGGCTCATATATTAATAGGCATGAGGATGACGTGTGGCGTCTTTATGAGAGCATGAGTGAAAATTCTTTGCATAGAACATTATCATCCAAGAATGGTATAAATTCACAAGGTAGGAAGAGTGTTGGCTTACACCAAGTTGACCATTCAAATGAAATAGCCACCGAAATGAAGTCTTTATCTCAAAGGTTTGATCAATTTTTGATTAACCAAAACTCGGCGAACCAAGTATCTTCCTTCCCTAACCATTCTCATCGTGCATCAAATGAAACATGTATGACTTGTTCTAGTGTTCTTCATTCTACTTCTCATTGTCCTCATAAACAAGTGCAAAATGAACCTAATGAACAAGTCAATGCAGCTTTTGTGAACCAATGGAACAATCCTTATGGTATTCACTATAATCCAAGTTGGAGGAATCATCCGAATTTCTCTTGGAAAAACCAAGGAAAGGGCTCAAACCCTTCCCAAGGCGGTTTTCAAGGGAAGTACATTCCACCTTCACTTCAAAACCAAGGATCCCAAGGTTATAAACCTAATCAATCACAGGGAATCAATTTACTAATTCTCATTTTCCCAACCAATCTTATTCCCAAGGAAATACTAGAAGTCCCGCCTTTGAAGAAAAAGTTTTAAATGCTTTGGGCACTTTAGAGGCTAACACTCAATTGCTTCATTCTCACTCTCAATCTATTGCGAAACTAGAAACCCAAGTAGGGCAAATAGTAAGCACTCTTAATGCAAGAGAGAAGGGAAAGATGCCTATTAATGCCCCACTTAAGCAACAATGTTTTGTGGAAACCCATTTTTCATCGAAAGGCCACACCATTGAACATGTTAATGCGGTGACTACCTTGTAGAGTGGTAGGATTGTGGACAATCAAGTTGAAAGGTCCAATGAAGAGAGTGAACCGCTGCAGCCTCAAGTTGTCACCCGTCCCATTTCACATCCCATTCCTCCTTCATTACATATACATGATCTTGTGAATGAGAAAGTCTTGAAAAATGTGTTTGAAAAGAAGTTTTGAAAAATGATGTTGAAAAAGTTTTGTTGAAAAATGATTTGAAAACTTCTTATGTTGAAGAGAGTTCAAAAGAAAATTCTGAAAAAGTGTTTGAACCAAAAGTTCCATTCCCGGATGCCTTAAAAGGATCCATTTCAAGAGACAAGCAAAAGACAAAAAGTAATGAAATCATGGAAATGTTTAGGCAAGTAAAAGTCAATCTTCCACTATTGGATGCAATCAAGCAAATTCCGGCTTATGCCAAATTCTTGAAAGACTTGTACACCCAAAAGCGGAAGAACAAGAGCCAAGCACCAAGAAAAGTGGTTTTGACTGAGCAAGTAAGCTCAATTTTGCAACATTACACTTTGCCAAAGTTTAAGGACCCCAGTTCACCCACTACTTCATGCATTATTGGTGATCATATCATTAATCGGGCGCTTCTTGACTTAGGAGCAAGTGTTAACCTTCTTCCATACTCGGTTTATGTCAAATTGGGCCTAGGTGAACTAAAACCGACGTCGGTAGTTTTACAACTTGCCGACCGATCCATTAAGAAGCCTAGGGGTATAATTGAGGATGTTTTGATTAAAATTGATAAATTCTTCTTCCCGGTTGATTTCGTTGTCATAGACACGGAACCGGTTCACAATCCTAAGAGCCAAATTCCCGTTATCCTTGGCCGTCCTTTCTTGGCAACCGCTAATGCCAACATCAATTGTAGGACGGGGATAATAAAGATCTCATTTGGCCACATGAAGGTGAAGTTGAATATCTTTAATCCCACACCCAATTCATTTGACAAATATGAAAGAGAGGTTAATGTTGTAGATAAATGTCATGAACTTCAATGTCAAGGAAGTGAGTTTTTGTGTAAGACCAAAATTTCGAAAGGATCATCTTCAACCTTGCATTCTAAAAGTCTTGTTTCAAATTTTTGCTTTGAAAGGGCATGGAAGCCCAAAAGTTGTGATTGCATAGACAAAGAATCAAAAGTTTCTTTTGAGCTTAATCCAATAAGTTCTTCAAAGAACCATTTGTTGGGTGGAGTTCAAAGCATCTATCACCCCAAAAAGGAGGGGATGCATTATAAGATCTTTGATTCGGGCTAAAAGAGCCCAATGTCTTGTTAGAGATGTTAAAGACTAGCAAAAACATTTCGTAGGGTGTCAAAACCCTATTCCTCCCTCATTTCTATCTTAAATTTCATTTCTTGCGAAATCTAGATACTTATTTTTGGTTCATATGCATTGAAAGGAACTTTGGTGAGGATTGCATGAGCTTTCATGTCATTATTGAGCATTCTACATAGTTCAATCGATCTCAAACCTGAGTTCGATCGATTGAACTCCATTCTGCATCCAACACTTAGAAAAAAAATTTGACCTACAGAAACCTGCATCCAAATCACCTCTCTGTCCCATCGTTCGAACTTATTCTTAGATCGATCAGGAGACCTTCGATCGATCCAACTTCAAAGTTCGATCGATCTTGACGGCTTAAGGTCATGTCACTCGTGCATGCCAAAATTGATGTGGTGAATGTGCAGTTCAAGAAAAGCCTTTTTGGTCAAGTTTAAATTTATAAAAAACCACTACCATCACTACTACTAACGTAGCAAGAATGAGTAGGGATCGTCCTAAAGGATTATGAGGATCGTGCAATGTCGTGGAATCACAATTAGGGCTAGTAGGTCTAGTGATCAAACAATTGGTTGGTTGGTTAATTAAAGAGCGATTAAATTAAACTAAATAATAGCAAAAGAGTGCAATTAAGAGTAAGTAAGAGAGAGAGAGATCTTGGGGTTTAGAGATCACCACCAAGCAATGCATTTCTATATTATTGACAAGTAATTAATGAGGGCAAATGGTGCGTTGCAATATTGGTGTGTGTGAATTTGGTTGATTCAACAAGCAAAGATGACTAGTTAAGCATGTATTGTCTAAATATCATGTGAAAGGCACAATATATCAAAGCAATGAAGCATATATTGTCTAAACAACATGTGAAAGGCACAATAAGTCAAAACAAGTCATTAATCCTTTCATTAAGCTTACAATCTAAATACAACCCAAGGATATAAACATATGCTAATTGCATTCAAAAGCTTGGATCATCAGACAACAAGCATAGATTGTCCTCCCATTTAACATTACACTATAACTACACTATATCTACACTACTAGCATGAAAATAAACTAAGGGAGAGGTACAATCCATCAAGAGATAAGCATGAACCATCAAGAGAATCACAAAAGCATTCTTCTAAGCACAATGTTTTGACAATCTCCAAATCTATAATATCAATACATATAGACATGCATCAATAATACAAAATCTAGAGACAAGCACATGAACATCTATTCTAGCATACATAGACATACGGATAAAATGAAATGACCAATAGGAAGCATTAAACCACATAAATCATTGAATAAACAAGATCTATATATATCAAAGTGTCAAAACATCAATTACAACACTAATCCCTCAATAATACACAAGATTAAGATATAGAAAGCATGCTTGGGGCTAACTCTAACCCCAAGAGTATGTCTAGCCACTCATGGTGATGATGCTCCAACCCTCAAGGGCTAATTCCATGGTTGAAATATGCCTGGTTGAGCTTTTTGGAAAAAGACAAATCCGAGATGTTTATGGGGGATATTTATGAGAAAAAGACAAAAGTGGTTAGTGGGTGGTATAGCTGTGGATAGGATCAATTATTTGAATAAGGACAAAAGTGTTCGATCGATCGAAGGATGGTGTTGGATCGATCGAACTTTTGGAACTTTATGCTTTTGGGTCAAGGCTTGGATCTATCTTGAAGTGCTGAGATCGATCATTGTTCGATCGATCGAATCTTGAACTTAGATCAATCGAACTTTGCTGCTTGCCACCTTTGGCTCCATTTGCTTCCTTCTTTCTCCACTTTGCTCCTTTCTTTGATTAATCCCAGAATTGCTTCAATTAAGCTCTTATTTGGCTGAGTTAGCTTATTTTCGAGATACGTGCCTGAAAAAGGAAATAATACGAAATCAATCTAAAACGGTAAAGTAAAATAGATAAAGGTACTAGAATACCTAAGCTTAAGGGGTTTAAATACGCACTTTTCAGTGCTCATCAGATCTCATGACTCAACACTTAGAAAAATTTTGAGCCTGCATAAACCTGCATATTTTTGCTCTCTGTCTCATCGATCAAAACATTCCAAGATCGATCTGAAGTTCTTCGATCGATCCAACTTCAAAGTTTGATTGATCTTCAAGTTCCAACACTTAGCCAAATTTTTTAACCAAAAACCTTCATATTTTTGCTCTCTATCTGATCGATCGAACTCTTGTTCCGATCAATCTCAGTTCTCCATTTCATTGTTTGACTTTGTTTTGACTTTTCAAATTTCAAAAATCCAAAAATATTTTCATTTTTATTTTATTTTGTTTATTTTTCATTTCACTTTATTTTATTTTATTTTTCAAAAAGTTTTCCAAAATTCAAAAATATTTTAATTTATTTAGTTTTTAATTATTATTGATTATTCAATTAAAAAAAATATGAAAATAAAAATCCAAAAATATTTTATTCTATTTTATTTTATTTTACAATTTTTATTTTTAATTCTAATTTTTAATTTTAGTTTTGCATTTTTCAAAAATTTCAAAAATCCAAAAATACTTTGAGGAGAGTTCATCAAAATTCGATCGATCTCAATTGAAGTTCAATCGATTGAACTCTGTCAGGAATGTTTTTAAAATAGACCTGGAGGGTCTCAAGATCGATCATTTAGATCAATCCAACCCTCCAAACCCCCTTCTCTCTCGTCGCCGTCATTGTGCATTATCATCATCACCTCCGGCGAGTTCTCCGACGAGATCTAAGCTTCGCATCTACCTCTCTCATCTCAGATCTCATCCAATCTTCGCATCCACTTCTCTCCCTTCGATTTGAGGTAAGATCCGAGCCTCTCATGTTCATTTAAGCTTCAATCTCATCCATACATACTCTATGTGTTGAATCCAGGCCATTTTAATGATGAAATCCACCATTGATGACCTTGAAGCATGTTTGTATATATGTTGTTATTTATTTTTTTTTTTTAAATTGATTTTGGGAGGATGGGCCATAATTGGGTGACAATTTTTGTTGTTTTGTTGTGTTGATAGGCCCACGAACACGTTCGTGTGGGCCCCGTGCTTCCAAAGTCACAGATCTGTGACTATTTACACTCGTCACACAGTTCGATCGATCGAACTTGTATCTCAGATCGATCTTGAGAGATTAATCGAACTCATGTCTCAAATCGATCGAAGTTGTAAAATCGATCTCACTTATTTTCGATTGATCCAACTTTTGTGATCGATCTTACTTCTTTTTGTGATCAATCGAACTTCACAGATCTCACACACACACTTCATTCATCATGCCTTATGTTCATGCTATCTCATATATACCCAAGACCTGTGATATTCCACATTGGATGCATTTCATACTTATATTGCTTAGCATGCTTCACATCCTGCCACTTGTATAGATGCATGTTATATATGTTTTGTCTATCTTATCCGACATGCATGTTTCTATATTGTGCGTAAAATTCCTTATTCTGGCACTAACTCCCATTGTAAGTTTTTCTTTTTCTTTTTGCAGGCCATGGTTAAGAGGAGATCGTTACCAATAAGCAACACAGGCCTCAGCGCCATATCAGACCACGGACAGAGGAGCCAGCAGAGCCTTCTCATGCACAGGAAGAGCCAATACAGGCTACCCCACCTCAGTCACCATCTCACGAGGCTGAGGCTGATCATATTCCATCCACCTCTGCGGCTCATCCTACATTTACTCCATCACCATCTCCACCACATGCTGGAGCTGAGCATTCACCCGTACTGTCTCCACCACGCCAGCCAGCTCAGGAGCGTGATAGGCCCATGCCTAGATATGCACATATGACGGTCGACCATGAGTCAGTGTTCAACACGGCCTTTTTCTCCAGATCGATGCTGACCCGATCCGCTTACCATGACATCATTCAGAGGGACCTGGAAGCTATTCTTGGCCCAGTCACAGAGCCAGTCTACCCGCGGCTGGTACGGTTGTTCTACCAGAACCTCCAACCATCCTTGCGTACCACAGTAGAGTTGGTCACTTCTGTAGATAGCCATCAGATCACCATCACAGTGGACTCATTAGCCCGCTCGTGCCACTGCCCATACCGCTGTCCTCCAAAGCTTCAAGAGACATATCCGAGGCTATACAGGCCTTCATATGCCGATATGGTAGTTTTTCTTACAGGTCACCATGCCAGTAGCGAGACCTTCACCACTCGGACATTCCTTCCAGATGACCTTTGGTTTATTGATTCCGTGCTCTTCCGAAACATATACATGGCAGGGCACAAGATTCAGAGGAGGGGAGATTATTTGACAGCCCTCTATGCCTTCTACATCGGGCACTGGGTGTCCATTCCCGCGCTCATCTGGAGCATGATGAGGAAGCTATATGATGAGTACATTAGCAAGGAGACGCCCGACAAGCTAAGTCTCTCCCATTCAGCCACCTCATCACCCAGATTTTGATTGACCAGCGCTACCCTATTCACCCTCGGGAGCACCCCGAGAGAGGTTCCTGTCACTTTTTGAAGAAGGACTGGACCAAGAGGTACAACGCCATTATTACTAGACTGCAAGACCACGCAGTAGTGGTTGCAGAGGAGCTAGAGGCTGAAGAGGAGGCACAGGCAGCAGCAGATCCCGCAGCGAACAATGCACCAGTCGATCCAGCTACTGAGCATATAGATATTGACTTAGAGCACCCTGCAGACGACACATAGCAGTACTCTCCAGCTGGGTCGCCTATTCACGAGCAGGAGCAGACTCATGAGCTTTCTTCTGATTCATCTATGCCTGAGGTTCCAGATCTGACCCCCGGCTTTGGAGTAGGCCTACAGACTCTTGAGGATGCTGTTATTGCCATACGAGCTGATCTTACAGCCCACAGAGCTGATTTTGCTGCCTTCCGCACGGATGTCGCGACTATGTTCCGAGATCTATCCAGAGATATCCGCGGAGCCCGACCTGCTCGTCCTACCTCATCCTCCTGAGTTCCCAGTTCCTTCTATCTCATAATCCCTCTCTACTATTGATACTTTATTTTTGTCACTGTACATTACTATTATTTTTGCAGCCGGTCTGTCGACTTTGATATTTCTGTTGTACCTGTACTTTATCTGTTATATATATATATATATATATATATATATATATATATATATATATATATATATATATCTATTTTTGTTATGGATGTCATATATTATATTCTCATATCTGTATGTTTGACTCCATCAGGTGCATCACAGTGACTTCAGTGAGAGAGTGCTACCCAATTTTCAGGACCACCCTTATACCTCTCTCATCTTTTTATCATTTTATCCCATTTACACTTGCATATCCACTATGCACTAATTATCCCATTTTGTTATCTGATGAGTTTATCCAAGTGCCAATTTTCAGGACCACAGTTCATCCCAAGTTTGGGGGGGCCATGGCACCCACTTCGGATACTTCAGTCCCGATCATTCTATGCCTTAGCTGCACTGGTATACTTTTTCCTTTGTTCTCTTGCACATTGAGGACATTGTGCCATTTAAGTTTGGGGGGAATGGTGTTTTACAGTGATAGCTTTAAATTTTGAAATAATTTTGAGCATGACTTGTGTAATTGAGGGATATTTCTATGATTGGTCCATATTTAGCTATGATTTTGATCTTTTAAGGACTATATTGCTTAAAATTTAAAAATTGTTTGACTTGAGAGTCCAATACTCCTTGTATGCCTTGTGGATGCCATTTATGAGAAAAATTTTCGAAAGATTGATATCTTGCTTGCATTTGTGGTCCACATCATCTTGATTTTGTGATTGTTTTGAGATTCATTCTAGGATTCTACACTAGCACAGGCACACACTAACATTCATTTGTGGAGTACATGCTTTGTTAATTATTGAATTGGTTATATACCAATTGGGCTAGTAATGCATTGAAAGCTTTCATTCTTGATAAAGGTGGATAACAACCCTTTTTCACTAAGTAGCCGGGATTCTAGCCTCATCAAGTACTGAACTTCTCACGCCGAAAGGTGGAGGGCCCAAACTCTAGGTTAATAATTGAACTAGCTATACAAAAAAAAAAAAAGGTGAGGACTTCTCGCATGCAGTAAAATAAAGCAAAGTATAAAGTTAGAGATGACACCAGGATTTTAGAGAAAACCCCAGTTGATAAAATACCTCAACTGTTATGAGAAAAACCTCGTGAACTTGTGCAGTCCAAAGTAAACTAATCCACTATGCTTGAAACAAAGTATACCGAACTTTGACCCTGGCTCACACCTTATCGTTCTACACCACACCAACCACTGACGATCTTCTGGCTTTGCGACTCCTCATCCAACAGCAACTTGATCTCAGGCTTATACTTGATATTTGTAGAAGAGTAGCAAATAGATCAGACAACACTTCGCGAATGCTCCAACCCTTTCAAAGTGTGACTGCGTTTACTTCTGTTCTTCAATTGTCTAAATGATGTAAAAAAAGATCTGCTTCGTCTGATCGATGTTAATACAACTATATGATCATGATCATTATTCGAACACCACAACTCTAAACTATGTGTTTATGTGTATGTGTTCTAGAAAGATATTAGAAAAATTAACTCTGATTTTCTGCAAAAATAATCTTCCTAAGGCTTTGAATAAAATTTGAATAATAATGTAAAAGCCGTGAATAAACCGATGTATTGACATGGTTTATATAGAGTTTAGAATGACCTAATCCTTCTAAAAATAAGGTAAAATCGTGCATAGGATTTGGTACAATTCTAAACCAACTGGGAAACAATTCAAAATAAGGAAACTGAAGTTGTATTGCCACTACAAGAAAAATGACTTTTTACCACGGTGAAAAATGCTTTTTACAACAGTTTTGAACCGTGGTAGAAAGTCGAGACATTCTACCACGGTTTCTAACCATAGTAGAAATAAGACTTTCTACCACGATGCAAAACCGTGGTAAATAGTCCTTTTCAATTGTGAAGTCGTTCTTTCTACCACGGTGCAAAACCGTAGTTGAAAAAGAACTTTCTACCACAGTTCAGAACCATAGTAGAAAGTGGTATATAATTTTTAAAAAATAAATAAAAAATAAAAAAATAAAATTACTACAGCCCCCATGAGGCCATTTTTTTCCCTACTACCAGCTTTGCAAAAACTCCACAAGCAAACACTAAATAAATAAAAAATAGCGTCATAACCAAAATAACTTATAACTAACCAACAACATTATATATATATATATATATAACAAATTCCAAATTATTGTTTTATACAAAAATTAACCATATACAAATTTCTTACTTCTTATACCATATACCAAAATAAAATAAAAATTCTTATATCTTCTTACTCCGTTTCAGTCTCTCTCTTACATTACATATATGCAACTTCTTCATGAGCCATACAAAAAATATAACAGCAACAAAAAAAGTAACGGCAACTGCAATCCTAGCTTTGACCTATGATGAGCGCTGAAAAGTGCGTATTTAAACCCCATAAGCTTAGGCATTCTAGTACCTTTAGCTATCTTACTTTACCGTTTTAGATTGATTTCGTATTACTTCCATTTTCAAGCACTTATCCCGAAAATAAGCTAACTCAGCCAAATAAGAGCTTAATTGAAGCAATTCTGGGATTAAACAAAGAAAAGAGCAAAGTAGAGAAAGAAGGAAGCAAATGAAGCCAAAGGTGTGAAGCAACAAAATTCGATCGATCCAACTCCAAGGTTCGATCGATCGAACACTGATCGATCTCAGCACTTCAAGATAGATCCAAACCTTAACCCAAAAGCAAAAAGTCCAAAGTTTGATCAATCCAACACCACCCTTCGATCGATCAAACACTTTTATCCTTATCCAAATGATTGATCATATCCACAGTTGTACCACCCACTAACCACTCTTGTCCTTTTCCCAAAAATATCTCTCAAAATATCTCAGATTTTTCTTTTCCCAAAAAGCTCAACCAGTTGGATCGATCCAGCCTCAGTTAGATGGATCTCAGCCAGTTCGATCGATCCAAGTCCAAGGTTCGATCGATCGAACTTCCTCCAGTGCGAAAAAGTTAAAAAGCCAGCTTGTTCAATCCGTCCTCTATCCAATCATTAAAGAATATTCTTTGCACGACCCTAGCTCATTTGGTATGTCACTTGACCTACCTATAAAAGGAATATGATGCCCTTTTTTAGAGAGAGACTTAGCATTTGGTAGATACAATTTTAGAGGCTATTCTTAGCGTAGAAGAAAAGAGGAGGAGGCTTGAGACACCATTGGAGTTCTTCATCAACAAGGAGCAGATTTCTTCCATGGAGTTAACCCTTGAGGGTTGGAGCAACATACCCATGAGTGGCTAGACATCCTCTTGGATCTAGAGTTAGCCTCAAGCATGCTTTCTATATCTTAATCTTGTGTATTATTGAGAGATCAGTGTTGTAATTAATGTTTTGACACTTTAATATATATAGATCTTGATTGTTCAATGATTTATGTGGTTAAATGCTTTCAATTGATCATTTGATTCTATCCATATGTCTATGTATGTTAGAATAGATGTTCATGTGCTTGTCCCTAGATTTTATGTTATTGATGCATGTCTATGTGTATTGATGCTATAGATTTAGAGATTGTCAAAATATAGTGCTTAATGAAATGCTTTTGTGATTTTCTTGATGGTTCATACTTATTCCTTGATGGATTGTGCGTCTCCCCTAGTCTATTTTCATGCTAGTAGTGTAGATATAGTGTAGTTGTAGTGTAGTGATAAATGGGATGACAATCCATGCTTGTTGTTTAATGATCCAAGCTTTTGAATGCAAGTAGCATATGTCTCTAACCTTGTGTTGTATTTGGATTGTGAGCTTAATGAAAGGATTAATGACTTGTTTTGATCTATTGTGCCTTTCACATGTTGTTTAGACAAGATATACTTCATTGCTTAGATATATTGTGCCTTTCACATGACGTTTAGACAATACATGCTTAACTAGTCATCATTACTTGTTGAATCAACCAAACACACACACACCAATATTGCAACACACCATTTGCCCTCATTAATCACTTGTCAATGGTATAAAAATGCATTGCTTGGTGGTAATCTCTAAACCCCAAGACTCTTCTCTCTCTTATTTACTCTTAATTACATTCTTTTGTCATCACTTAGTTCAATTTAGTTGCTCCTTTATCAACCAACCAACCAATTGTTTGATCACTCGACTTACTAGCCCTAATAGCAATTCCACAACCTTGTCCGACCCTTCAATCCCTTGGGACGATCCCTACTCACCCTAACTATATTTTTAGGGAAGGTAGTAGTGGCTTTTATAAATGTAAAACTTAGCCCTCGCCTTAATGCACACTCTCTTAAGCTTATGGTAGGAAGATAAGTAAACCAACAACCTACAAAGATGTAATAGTTGAAGTCAGAGAATGTAAAGCAAATTGTAAAGTTGTCAAAATTAAACCAAGCAAAGCAAGCATTACAATAGACTCTTCGTATTAACTCAATATCTTAGGTTATTGACATACCGTCACCAAAAGAAATCATTTGAGTAGTAATGCATGACTACAATAGTCCTCCTTCAAATCTTCAAAGTAATATATATCATAATCAAATAGAGCTGAACCAAAGAAACATTGAGACTAATTAGAATTCTAGTTACATGCACTTAGCTTCGTAGTTATATAGGCTAGCTGAAATATCATTAGCTTCTACTATATAATAGTACTTCAAGTTTTCCAATAATATCCCACAATAACAAGATTTGTTATAATTCAAATTAATTTACCTTTACCCCCTTCACCCCCATTGAAGAAGAAGAAAAAAAGAAGATCCAGAAAGATTCAAGAAAGTCTTTAGCTCGCCATTTCATAGAACACTTTTACCACCTGAATACTATATCTGATATAAACGAGCAAGTTTTGAAGTTACCCAAATCTGCACTTTTAAAATTTTAACAGCGTCTCTACATTTATTGGAATGTTACCAATACTTCAAAAATATCCCCTCATATATAAACATGAATGTTAGATCTAAATCTAAACACTGGTATAGGCTATTTATCTAACCAAAAACACTAAAATTTCCCCAGTGACAGGTATGGTGATGTTATCTCAATTCGACAGTATGGAAGACCTGTACTCGTTCTTGATGACAAAAGTGTAATGCTACTGATGGTTTTACCAAGCCATCTACGAAAAGAGTGATCCAGCTTAACATGTCGAGTTTTAATCATATCCCTTTTGTGATTTATTCTTTAAACATAAAAGAAACACAACAGAATATGCGATACTATGCATGGGGTAGCTGAGTTGTCATAAGCCCTTTGGGCATGACCAAGAGGTCTTGTGTTCAAAGGCATTAGTCCCCCCTCTCAAAAGGGGTAAGAACCCTCTCCACTTTAAAAAATAAAAAAATAAATAAATAAATAAAAATAAAAATAAAAATTGGAAAACAAAACAGACATTTCTATCTAGAATCACAATGCATAAGTTTGTGCCAAGTCTCTGTCAAGGAAAGTGACATTAAGAAAGAAAATTAATTCATGTAATTGATAAACTATGTTAGTAACAACCTTTTTTGTAGATTATATGATGAACTGCACTACCATTTTTAGTATCTTAATGAAAAGGTTGCAGTTCCAAAAATAAATGGAAGCTCCCTATATAGAAAATGAAAAGGTTGTTGTTCCAAAAATAAATGGAAGCTCCCTATATAGAAACTAACAAGTGTTGAATAGTTATGATAAAATTACCATAATTTTGTTCTACAAGCACGACAGTAACAGGGGTACACTAAAATTTCAAAGTTTTGCTTTTCCCAAACACCAAAAGGAGCCTACCCCTTACATCAATAAAACAAGTAATCATCAAACAATACCACCATTCTTTTCATGCACAGACAAAAAAGTCAGATTATTACATCCTTCTTCTGGAAATGCAAACCTTCCTCTAACATCTGGTAGTATCAGAATAATAAAAGATCCAAGGAACAGGAAGATGAAAACAAGTATACAATTCTCAAGGTGTAACCAACTTAGAAAATGGGATGACATACAGTAATTAAGGAGCATGCAAAACCAATATATGGATTTGTCACTCAAGTTAAAATAATGTAGTGCAAACCTGAAACTACAAACTACTGATTGCTTTAAATATTGGTTTGACTTGCCTTACTCTCACATAAGTTCCACATATTATTTAATTTATTTCTACAATTTTAATCATAGGTACAATCAGGCCATTGTCAATAATTAAATATATGTTTCATGTCATGAGAAGAAAATGTTTGATTATTTATAACTTCTTTTCATTATAGGGTTACTCTTCATCAAAATTAGAACCCTTTAAATGGCCAACAAAGAATCATAATGATTGGTAGTGCGAATACATGCTTTATTTTTCAAAGTAGTTAGTGTTTGCGCAACTTAAGGTCTGAGCTTGAGAATTTTAAGTCTTGGAAATTACTCTTTAAAGTCAGTTAAGTTGAACATTCTTCTTTTCCCAAAAAAAAAAAAAAAAAGTTGAACATTCTTCCGGAAATTTAAATAGGTCTAGTATAAAGTCTTATTTTAGTGGAAAATAGAACTAAAATAAGAAGTATGTTCATACTAAATAATTTTTGCCTCCTATAATACAATCTTGAAACTATGTAGGCTCATCGTTTACATGAAAAATGGCATCCTGATTTTTTTTATACAATTTCGAGCATGTATTATTGCGAAGATATGTATTAGTTGTTATTCATGTTATATGCATATAATATGAATAACAACTTATACATAAAAATAAAAAATAAAAATTAAGTTGCCAACTTGCATTAACTCCTTAAACAACATATCGACAACTTCTCCTCCACAACAATCAATCAAAACCTCCACATACGATGATCCCATACTCCCATGCTTTCAACATTTTAAAACAAGAAATAAAAATGGCCTCCACACAGGCCGATGTACCAAAAGGTAATAAAGTTCAAGATACACCACAAAATTGGTCGCTTAAAGACATGTGACCCCCATTAAAAAATATGCAATCATAAAAGAATTTTATCGAACATAAAGACCATATAACTTACAAATTGTGATGTACTTGATAGGTTATGCAATCGACGCTCCCATTGTTGTCTTTTCCCAGCCCCTTTGGAAGACTACATTTCAAGTACATGCAAATCAATTAAAGAAAATATAACACCAAAATACACCCTAAGTGGAGATAGTTAAATGAAAAAACTCAAAAATAAGGGACATTATAAACAAATACACACAAAATCAAGATCACAAAACATCATTAAAACATCTTTGCATGATCATGCGAGAAGTCCACAGAGAATCCATGGAATGAGAAGCCCTTTCAACACCACTAGTTTGGATTGAATAGTAATTGGGAAAGCTTTGAGCTGAAAGGGTTTCAACATCAAGACTACTGCTTTAGCACCAACCCAACACTCCCATCATTGACTGCTCTTATAATAGCTTTTGTGAATTTTATTGGAGATAAAATGATTTATCATGTGGAGTAAAGATCAATAGTTGTATAAGTGAGAAAAAGTAAACTAATTTTTAATGTAATGTTAGCAAAATCAGAAGACAAAAAGTAAAATGGGTTGACTGTAAAACATAATTCTACTATGATAGTTGCTCTAAACATATGTGTCAAATGAATCATAGGCACCTCATTTTGTAGTCGTGTGTGTGTGTGTGTGTGTGTGTATCATGTAAATTCAACTCCTACACTAACTGTGAAAAGAAACAGGATCCACCATTCTTTTGGCTCATTTACAAATATTATCAAGTTAACTATATTTTTTATGCATGCAGCTTATTCAAGTAGCTTTCTTTCTAAATGTCCCTTTAATGTTTCAAGAATTTGACATTTAGAATGCTGGCTCACTATGACAAACTGCAAATATAAAAAATAAAAATAAAAATAAATTCCAAATGACTTCTCCAAAGATTCAACAACCAAGAGATCCTTCAAAAAATTGTATATGAAATGTAACTCCCAAAACTTAGGTCAATAACTTCATCCAAATTCAGATGAAAAATGTGCTTCCATGACAAGAATTACAAAATAAATAAATAAATAAAACTAAACAAATATATAACTTTTGGTGAACCATCTATGCAGTAAATATCTAGATGTGTTTCAACACACAGGTTTTTAGTCATATCAATGAAGATCATGTTTCCCTTAAGTAGAGAAAAAAAAAAAATAATTGAACTTCATGAATGTTATGGTAATGAAGATAGTAAAATAATCGTATAACTGGTAAGAAAGTGCAAATGCAAAATTCTAAACACATTCTTACTTGAAACAACTATTATTAGGGTAGTAAGAGAACATTTTTTTTTTTTTAAAGGTAAAATCAATTTTGTAAGATAATAAGATATACAATACAAGTTAGCCCAAGCTAAGCAAATACAAGAACAGCCTATGAGACAGCCCAAAGCACAAGAGCAAAACAAACCCAGCAAGAGTTACATTTGACACGACACAAAGCAATGTGTTTGTAGCAAGAGACCATTTATAAAAAAGAAGCATAGTTTTTTACCTTTTGGGTATATCACATAGTTTGAAGAAATGAAGCCAAGTGATGAAATGCACCTGTCATTTAAAAGTTGTTCATAAATCACACTAGTAGTTTCCATAGGAAGTTGCTTAATGAACACCTCAAAAGCCACTTGATTGCTAAGATGTGTGAAAGCATACAAGAATTTGCAGTATGAATAATTGTTCTAGAGTTATGAATGAATTAAATTATGGTTGTGGAAGGGAAACAAGTGGAATAAACCTTCGCGAAAATTATTGAAAGCCACCCTATGATGAAAAATATTTGTAAGAACCACATAGCCTGCATTACAAGATGAACCAAAATTAAAGAATTTGTATAGTGTTTGCAACAATAATTTATATTCTGTCAAGAAGCATCTTAAGGTAGGAGGAAAAAGGAATAAAAAACTTACACCTCTCGGGCCAATGAGATCCGCAATTTTTCCACTTACTGCTGCACCTAACATTCCTCCAATTGTCAATGCTGAACCAAAAAGTGAGTACTGCACAAAGCAGAAAGAGAATAAACAAAATCGATTAAACAGAAAAGCAAATACATTCTATTGACATGACACAATCTAATGTGCTGCTTGACTCGATCAGTTGTCTCAACAAGTGTCTTCAATATCAATTGGCTCCGAACAAGTATTCAAATTCAAGTAGCAGTGATAAATAGAGATTGAAATTTCAATGAATTCATTTAACATGGAAATGGTGTAGCCTAGTTGTTCTGTTCCAAACCCCCGCCTATGTTAATGAGCAATAGAGATTAAAAACATCGAAAAGAACACAACATTGTATTCTCTATAAAACCCGAAAATTGTTTTTCTTCATTATCAGATAGTTGACATAATTAAATTACTTAAAATTTCATCTAAACAATTTCTCAAACACTATGCATGCACATAGACACTCACGTAAAGGATTGCAAGTAGTAGTAACCATCAATCCAACTTTAGAGACCAAATTAAAACTACACAGGCACACACAATGTCAAGATATTTTTCAGAGTACTGTTTAAATCATTTTGCAAAACAAGAATTACAGAACTTGATTAATTGATTTAGAAAAAAAAAAAAAAAAAATTTAAAACAAAACCCATACATACAAGTTACCAGTTGCAGAGAGAAGGCTTGAGAGTTGAGAGACAGCGGGCCAGAGGCTGAAGCTTGCGAACGACGAACCCGAACTGGAACAGCGGGCGATGGAAACTGAATGATATGGGTTTTGATTTTTTGAACAATCTGAAATGATATGCCGATATGGGTTCTGATTCTTGTAGATTTTGTAGTTTGCAGTTGCAGAGACAGAGAGAGGGCAAGTTCAGAGTTGAGAACGAGAATAGAGATGGAGGCAATTTGGGAGGCTGATCAGATTCTTGTAGATTTTGTAGTTTGCAGTTGCAGAGACAGGGAGAGGGCAAGTTCAGAGTTGAGAATGGAGGCGATTTGGGAGGCTGATCTGATTCTTGTTGATTTTGTAGTTTGCAGTCGCAGAGACACAGAGAGGGCAAGTTCAGAGTTGAGAACGAGAATAGAGATAGAGGTGATTTGGGAGGCTTAAATGATTTGCCCGTGTGTGTGGTCTGTCCGTGTGTGCGTGTGGGGTCTGAAATGATTCGCCCTAAAATTTTAATTGAGTAGCGGGAATAAGACCTGCGTAAAGTAGTCTTGCACCAAATTTACTTTTTACTACAGTGCCTGAACGGTGGTAGAACAACTTACTACCACGGTTTTTCATTAACCGTGGTAGAAATAGCATGTCTAAATTTCAGTTAAATTAATTTACTTTTTTATCAAATTCACTTTCTATCACTGTTCTTTTATAATTGTGGTAAAAAATACAATTACTATCATGGTTTTCCCTTAACCGTGGTAGAAAGAATCTTCTACCACGGTTTTAAAATAGCCGTGGTGAAATATATTCTTTCCAAAACTGTGATAGAAAGTGTCTTTTACCACGGCTATTTTAAAACCGTGATAAAAAAGGCGTTCTAAAAAGCTATTTTTCTTGTAGTGTGCAAACAAGAGTTCTTGAACCAGTTCAAGGAAGCTGAACCGGTTCAAGTTTAACAGTGACTCAAACTTGAGCATCTTGAACCGGTTCAAGGAAACTGAACCGGTTCAAGGTTGGCAAACTTGAATATTCGAATTCTTTCAACCTTATTTCATTCTACGGGAATTTCAGGCCAACATGATAAGTGTAGAATGTCCAACCTTGTGCATATTCCTTCCTAAAGTAGTGTTCTTATTTTTTTCTTCACAAACTCTTCAAGTATTGTAAGTTTAACTCTTTCCCAGTTCTGTAATCCCTGTCGAACTTGATAACTTGTAGAACAAGTAATTTGAATTACAACTCAACTTGGAGTTGTTATGTCTACGATAATTGTCAAAAATGAATTAATATCTCACATATTTTTATGTATATCCGTACTTATTGCTCTGGGTTATTCATTGATGGACACACAAGTAAATTTTAAGTCAATTTTATACCACATAATAATTTCAAAGGGATAACACATTACATCATGATATAATAAATGAAATAACTTATAATTAATATGGAAGGGAAGAAGTATAGGAATATATAGATATATATATGTATACATACAGACACATTATATATGCATACCTGAAAATGGACCTCCATTTGGCAGAATTGATAGTGCCCGGACCAGAGCAGATGAATTGTCCTTTAAATACACAGCTGGTTCCATGCGCTCTCAAAACAATGGAAAAAGTAGTGTTCAAAAAGTCATAAAAACCACACTTCTGTCAATCCACCACTGGTCCACCTTCTTCTACCCATATATTAACCCCTCAAAAGAATCTTTACTTTCACACGCGGAGTACTATCACCCTTCTCTACTCTGTCCTATCACCATACCAGACGTGACTAAAACTTTTGGTGTGTTTCTTTTTGGCCCATCTCAGTGAATACCACGAGATACTGTGGCCTTCAACATTTAAGACTTCTTTGTTTGAACCTTAAATATTTTCCATATTCTTTATCTTTCAATGTTTGACAACGATACATAAAATAATTTTTAGATCCGTTTTTGTGTGCAATTTACCCTTTTTCTTCAATATTTCTCATCATAATAAACTCACAGTTAACTCTTTCTCTTTTTTCAGTGATCCTTACCAATAGAAAATAGTACTCCTAATCCATTCCCTTTTCTTTCCTTGTTATTTTTTTTCTCTACGCTAAACCATTCCTCCCTCTCCTCCTTCTTACTTTCTCTCTCCACTCTCTCTCTCTCTCTAGGACCATGTTCTTCCCAAATATGTTTTTCTTCAATTATACCAATTTTAATTTCAAGACGTCAATTTTATTTAACCAAACACATAAAAATACATATCAAAATCCAAAGTTGAAAGTTCATATTAAATAATTTAAATTAAATTTTAAATGAATGTAACTTTATATTCATTACGGTTATGTTAATGAGATAATATATATACATATATATTGATTTGTGGTATTGATTTCTTTAATATATTTTTTATATTTATCACCTCTATTCTTTTATTTATAAATAGAGGTGATTTATTGTATACAAAGATTAAAAGAGAATATAATAAATAAAGATGATGTAGTCCTTTTGACTTTGTACTTGCTTTCATTTTCTATTTCTCTCCTTAACTTGAACAATTATAATCAACTATATAATCAACTAGGCATCCCCATAATCACCAGATCATGATTTCACCATCGTATAATTCTTATCTATATATATATATATAATATATCAAAAGTGTTAAATTCTATCTTACTTAAAAAAAAAAAAAAAAAAAAAAAGGTGTTAAATTCTGATTCTTATCGTTAGGAGCATCACATATCCTACCTGTAAGATTATTTATTAATTGTGTGGCCCACATGTTTTGGACATGTGATATATTTCATTAATTAATGATTAAGTAAATAGGTATAAGATTAATATTATATTATTTGGTCAACTTATAATTACCTTTTTGGTAATTACTTATTAGAGAAGCGTTTTCCTTTCTTATTCTTTACTTTGATGGAAAGTAGAATTGTATTACTAAAAGGAAAACTGGTCATCTCTCTGCCTTTTTAAAAGTGCATATACTCCATCAATTATGTACGATTAATGATACAACATGTAAAAGTTTTATGTGTGCAAAAGGCCAAGAGAGAGAAACCAGTTTCCACCTTTGTCTGTTGATTAGAGTTGTAAATTAGTTCGTGACTAAAAGATTTATACGTTGGACTTAATCTCAACAAGATTTGATATAGTGAATCGAGGTATTTATATCTAACTAGTATTTATTTATGCATTATAGATTTGTGAAAATAATGAAGTTCCAAGATTATGGGATTCATGTTTATTTGTGATGAATGGCTTAACACGAATAATTATAGTTTACATGTGGTATCAGAGCATATGGTTTAGGGGCTCATTATTTTCCACTAAAGATTGCATAAATAATAATGTGTAAATACAAAGTAAGATTAAATAATTGTATAGTTTAATTTTCTTTTAGAATCGATATTATTTATTTTGATTGGTCTCATTGACTGTTCATGAATTATTGTATATATGCAAATAAATCAAAATGAAGAAATGAAATTTTTATTTTTTGAACTTACGTTTTTTTTTTTTAAGAGGAGTTAATCATGTTCTAATGTATACGGGCAATTGCACTATTCAAAGTAAATATTTGTGTATAATTGTTCTTCTAGATTTCATGGTTTGGAGGATCACAATTTAGATGACAATTGGTTGGTTCAAGTTTTAGTTATATTAGAATAATATATATTATATTAAATGTATCAAGTAACTTCACTTGAAACCAAGTTTAGGTTCTTGTCATCTTGATTTACGTGTATAAGGAAACAACAAAAGTTGTAATAATTAATGAATTACATGTACCCGTGACTACATGGTTTACATGTAGTTTGAATGCCTCATGTGATTGCCTTTGCCCAATGAACATGCATAAGAGATACATCATATTATGTTTGTATAAGAGTGCATATTGACTGTGCCTGTTAATATTAATTTATTTTTTATTTTATTAGGCATGTAAATAAATTATTATTTTATACGCATACATAAATGATGGAGAATCAATTTTGGATTGATTCAATTATGATCTTTAAGTCTGAAAATAAAAATTATATGTTTTATTATGTATATAAAGTAAAAGGATATTTTTTATTGTATTTTCAGACTATTAAGTTTTTTGGATCGAACTTACCTAAAGTTGGATCGATCAGTATGAGTATGAGTATGTGTATATAATATTAAATGGGTAAATTAATGATTAATTAGTTACTAGCTAATTTAATATTCATAGTATGTGAGGGTTAGTAGCTATCAAAGTGGCCTAACCATAATGATCGATGATTATTAATTTTAGTAATAAATATTTTTTAATGATGAGTTAATCTCTGTCTAATTTAATATTCATATTATGTGAAGATTGGTAGCTACCAAAGTGGCCCAATCATAATGATTGATAAATATTAATTTTTGTAGTAGACATAATTAATCATAAATTAGTTACTATCTAATTTAATATTCATATTATGTAAAAGTTGGTAGCTACCAAAGTGGCCTAACCATAATGGTTGATGGATATTAATTTTAGTAGTAAACATAATTGTAATATTTCATGAATTACGATGCTTGTGATTTATTATGATATTCATGAATATTGACTTTATTTAATTATAAGAAATAATTCCTCAAAGGGAATTAATTTTCAAATGATTAAATTAAAATTAAGGGGTTGTATGTATTTTTAATTAGGTAAATATAGGATATCCAAAGGTAACTTATTTATTTAATTAAATAATGCATCACCAATAAAAGTATACATATAAATACATGTAAGCATCATTATTACTATTTTATAGTTGCCACCCAAAGGGGTACTATAGTTATACATTGTATTTATATTTTTAAGTTATATATACGTGTTGTTAACTCAAAGCATTATTGTTGTGAACATTTTATCTTATTATGTTTGTTTTATTATATCTCTTAATGCGCATGCTACATCTGTTCTGATTCTCAATAGGACTAACTTCTCATAATGAAATGAGTACGTTGAGTTCCAAAATTTAGGTATGCTAAATTAAAATTTAGCATTTTAAATTGAGAAACCTACTGATATTACTGAGAAAAACAGTGAGGAAGAAAAGATTTTCCATAAAGCTTGGCAGAGATCGAACAGATTAAGCATTATAGTTATGCGAATAATTGTTTCTCATAATAATAGTACTAAGGAATATTTTGACTAGAAGAATGTTTTCGTATTGTAGATAAATATCTAAAACGAAAATTATTAATTTATATCATAACTATGCATTTTTGTTGATACTCTTATCATGTAGGGTTATGTTCTTAAGATGACTAATGTTGCTACTAAATTGAGAACCTTATGGATGATTGTGGATAAGAATTTTATCATTCAATTTATTTTTAATTTCTTGTCCACTAAGTATGGGTCATTTCGAATTAAGACAAGTGGAAATGAATGAATTGACCATTATGTTAATTTAGGAGGAGACAAGGCTTAAGTAG